CCTTGACACGTAATCTATTTTGTAATAAAATAATCGATAAAAACTTGGAGGGTTGCACTATGCTCGGGTAACTTTAAATTAACGATAAGTAGTTTAGTTACTACGTTCTGTATAATTATACACGTTTTGTACACTGGTCAAAGACGTACGTACGTAGTAACGATTAAAAGACTTCATTAATTGCAAGTACATTCAGTCTTCCTGGTTCAGAAACTTTATATATAAATATCTTACGTGTGATACTGTCTGCAATGGAATTTTATCGCGTACACGAGATTGATGAGTAAAAGGATATGGTCAAGTTTGTTAATACCAAGCAATGTTACAGAGCAGCGCCTTGTTCTCGCATTTGCTTCTCTGCGTCTCGATTTTTGTTCCACCGTTCCCACATCCGTTGACAACGAAATCTTCTAATGGAATCAGCCTTGTTGCAAAACGCTTCTGACTGTAGTATTTCAATATAACCCGGTTCTAAATGTACCAAAAGCCCGTGGCTACCGCCTGCATTTGCTCGAATCTCTTTTACAACCTGACTACGCCTGTTCTTTCTGCTTTGTCGTCGAAAATGCTGCACGTAACCCACGCATACGGAATAACATATTTGCGTACGAATAGGACGCGCAGATGTTAATTCCAAAAAGAAATTCCAGCTCTGCCAACCGAACGAACCTAACGAAACCTAATCTGCAAACAGAGAGCTAACATCGTGAAACTAAACAGCTCTGTAGCACAAAGTCGCATGTTTCAAGCCAACAGTTGGAGGAAAATAGGCAGATTGGCATGGAATTTGCATAAATTCAAGTTTCATCAACTGGCTCGAGACAAGTCCTAATCGTCAAATACATATCTGTCATCTAGAACCTGAGAATATCACACTCTTTTGTAGGGGATGAAAATCGGGGTAAACTTCGAGGATAAAAGGGGGGAAAGAATTGGCGAAAAGCTGGAAAGAAAATCGGCAGGAAAGAAGCGATTCGTCAGATCGGCGGCAGCTGAGTTTCGAGGGTGAAATCGATAGCAGGTGGCGGTGGTGCGTCCCTGGAGCTCTACCCCTTCACCCCTGCGTCTCACCGACCATCCCACCCTCCCCCGGGCATTTATTTATTTCCATGCGGTTCGAATACCGCGGGTTGCCTCTCCTGCTTTTCGATATGCCTGCAACAGAAACAGAGTGGAGGAAGGGGCAGAGAAAGGGAACGCTGGCAGCCGAAGGAAGAAAGAGAGGCAGACACTGAACGGAGGGTGAGTTTCGAGAGCGGAAAGAGAGAGAGAGAGAGAGAGAGAGAAAGAGACGAGGGTGAGCCATGCGCGATTCACGACGGGCGAGCGGGTGGGCTCGTAAAATCCGCGGGCGAGACTCGAAATCCGTAATCACAGTTCGCACTAGCGGCCCAGCCGCGATGGAGAATCTCACCCCCCGGGGGCAGAAGGGGCGAAAGCAGCCTGCAAAGCACCGAAATGGAACGAGAGAGGGGAAAAAACGGCCGAATGTGTTTCGCGGTCTCTCTTTCCTTCACCCGTCCTGTCGCGGAATCGAATCTCCTCGATTCCTTTCTCTCAGTCTCTCTCAGTCTCTCTCTTTCTCCCTCTTTTTCTCTCCGACCGTGTCGCCACTCTGTGACTCGCCGATGCTGTTAACGATAAGAAGTTGGGATTGCACGTAAACGTCGACTGGCCGCTTCTCGTTTTTCTTCGCGATTTAATTCCTTTGACCTGACAGCGCCGCCGAGGAAGCACGAGTCACTCCTCGCGGTTGCCGAGTTACGAGCCACCTTCGCCGCTGTTTATTTAGGAATCGTGATTAACTTCTTGAATAAGAGGGATCTCTGTTCGTGGCGAGCGCATTTCAGCACGAAGAATCGATTTATGAATAAAATGATACTGTTCACGGGTTTTTATGGGCTGAGCGTTATTAAAGTAGATTGAAAGGCTGGGAGGCTGAATTAAATCTAGATACGTCGAAGTGTATTGCACAGTGGAAACGTCAGAATATTGAATTTAGTTATTCATTAACGATTCTATTTCACAATGGTGAAAAGAAGCAGCTGATACAGAAGCTAATATCAATCTAGTAATACTAGTAAAACTCCGTTTACATGATCCGAATAAATAGCAAGCATGATATATCGTAAGAAGACAATTAATTTATATACTCGTTCGATTAGCAAAGATTTATTTCGTTAACTGAAATTTAGTTCGAACGAATCGAAGAAACTCGTATAAAATCTCTGCTCTACGTATTACAGTTGCATGAAATGTTCCGGGAAAAAATGGCTTGGAATTTGCGTCTTCCTTCCCATTACGTCCTCGGCGTATTAGATATATATCTCGGAAAGAGAGACAGAGGATGATACTAGGTGACATGGGGCTGGCTTGCAGAATTTTCCACAGAGTTCACGCCAAACGTGGAACCGTTGGACGATCGCCTGTTCGCCTGGAAAGTCTGATCTTTCCATTTCTCTTTTTTCTTTTTTTCTTTTTTTCGCTGACGTAAGTAAATACGTAAATCGTATGTCAGTTTCGGAACAGAACGCCGCCTTTCTAGATTGAATTTAATTTTTCACACGTGCAAGCGCTTCTTATGACAATTCGAGACATTGACGAGAGTACGATGGCGGGTGAAATTGTTTTTCCTCCTCGCTAGAAAGAGACACGTTTCAACACTCTGTGGATGTAACGGAGGACTGGGAGTGTACTTTCCAGGGAACGCGCCGGTGGAAAAACTTTCGAAAATGACAGGCGTCAATATCAGCGAGCGTCCCCTTCGAGATAAGTAACAGCGGGAACTCTTAAAACGCTTCCTTCGCGCTTTATTATTCTACCAACCCCTCCGGCGAAAGTGGTTCCTCCCCGAGGGAGAATGAATTTTTTTTATTTCGCATTAAAAGTAAGGGGAGGGGGGTGAGTGGGGGGGGACATCTGCTCTGTCGGGCGAAGACGCGTTGCGATACGTTCTATTAAAAAGGGAAAGATGATGGTGAAAATGAAGGAGACGAGAGAAACAGATAGATGGATAGATTGACAGACAGCGAGACAAAGATGCAGAGAGAAAGAAGAGAACGATAAAGAGTAAAAAGAGAACCGTGTCGTCGAAAAGGAATAAAATCCAATTTGATTATTTTCTTTTCGAAATGGCGTTGTGCTCGTTCCTAGAATTCCGGGCCTCTTGGCAGAGGCGCGAGAACGATTGCCGCAATTAGATGAATCAACACTCCGGCACGATGACGAGGTGGGACGAGGACAATAACAGCTTTTATTTACGAAGCTTTTACTTAAAGACGCGCGGCTGGAAAACGACGAGCTGGCGTTCGCCGGTTCCCCCGCGCGATCCCCCTGAAATAATATTTTTCCTTCTCTCCCTCGTTCAGCGCTGGAACGAGATCTAATTAACCCCTCATTAAGAATCGTGCATTACGAATCCTACCCTCCTCCCTTGTACGTTTTATTTACTCTAACCTTGCCGTTTCCTTTCGATCGTCCCCGGTAATTGTATCGTTGCGTTTCTCCTAGGGGAGAGCCGGACCGAGGTTCAACGAGCAAGAATGATTGACTTATTTATCAGCTGTCGAGGCTCGTCTACTCTTTTTTGCGAGACGTCACTCGGTCACGCGACAGTGCTCTACACAGTCTCGTTCCTTCTTTCTTTCTTTCTTTCTTTCTTTCTTTCTTTCTTTCTTTCTTGTTGCAACGGCGAGTGGAACTATCGTATTATATCGCGCGATTTACAAATTGCATTCGACCCTAGAATTACCTTAGGTGGAAATTGGAAACAGAATTGCACGGCTCCTGCGCTTTCGTTCTTTCGTATACGAGAGCCATAGATGAAAAATACGGCGAGTCGTGTTTCTCGTCTGATATAGAGGAGCAATTTTAGAATTGAATACACCGTAATCAGCTCGGCGTCGAAGCTATCTTTGCGTTTGGTGAAGTTGTTAAATTAAATTGTTTCATCGCCTATCATTGTCGTGAAGTTGCCTTCTTCAACAATTTCACGTTGAAACAACCCTTTCTCAAGTGACTGAAAAATTAGAGAATCAACCAATCATCGACACTGCAAAAATTCAATATCAATTTGTGCAGTATGAATGATTAAAACTGTTCTGTATTATGATACACTGGCAGTCTTCCGGACATAAAGCGACGTGATACATGTACCATTGAATATTACAATTATATCATAAGAAATGCCACAGTGTTATAATTCTTCTTTAACCAGTGAAAATTGTAGAGATCTATGTATACACATTCACTTTTTACCACGCTGCGAAGTGTAAAAAATTTTTTCCCAATTAAAATGTACAAGAAACCGAAGAAAGAAATTACGCGCGTACAATGTTACGCTCGAACAGTCCCATCGTCCTCCGTCACGTTCTTTCATGGAAAGATCTTCACGTAAAAAATGATCCCGCCAACGACAAAATCGAACAGACTAATTTCACGCTCGGGAATACGATACAAATCCTCCGGTGAAAGTGGAGGGAGGAAAGCGAGATGACGCACTGCGTTACTTTAAAAACGGATCGCTTTCGCTGCGTGTGCACACAGTCAGGTGTGTTCAGCGAGGATGGGGGGTGGTTGGCCGCATCAAGAGAAAGGAACGATGCACGAGGGACATCGCCGGGTTTCGATTATCGTCGATAACTCGGCTGGATGTATCCCTTCCGTGCTATGGCTGTAGTTCCCGGAAACTCGCTTCGCCCCCAGGATTACCCCGTCCGGAGAATTCCCATCTCAACGCTACGCTACGGTTATGCACCCTTCCCGGTTACCGCGATCCGTTCAACCCTTACTTTCGTCGCCGCTCTGTCTCCACGGTCGCCGGCCCCTTTGTCTTCGAACCCCCGAGCCGCGATTTGTCCCGAATTACTTCCACGAGAATATTACGTTGCCTCGTTCTCGCCAAGAGCGAAGAAGATTGCGATGGAGAAACGCGTTCGCCGCCGATGGAAATCGAACGATCGAGGCTTGCTCACGTGGACGTATGCGATGTTTTGTTGCAGAATGCACGTTTCCACCGAAATGGGAGGGCACCTGGTTCCAGAGCGGAGTCAGACAGCCGATCGTGATCTCCAGGAATGAATTGTCCAGCAAGGGCAGGTGCCTGCACAACGAGGGCGACAAGTTCCTCCTGGTGGACCAGTGAGTATATACTTTGCTCTATTTTATACTTTGTGAAACGTATTGATCTGTTTTTTTTTTTCTTTTTTTTTTTTTTTTTTTTTTTTTTTTTGGTCGGTGTCTCTCCGAGTAATTAAACTCTTCAGGGACGAACTTTTTAACTACTTGCGCTGGCAACTGATTGCGGACCATAACGAGTGACGGAACCGTATACAATAATACGCCGCTTTTGAACTCGTTGGTACGATATCGCTGGATAGAAATTGTCGAGAAGTAATAAATGTATTATTTGTTTTGCAAACATACTTCAAATATTGCAATTTTGGGACAGAAAACTCTCGACATGCGTGGCACGTCATTCCAGCGCAAGAGGTTAAAGAGAAGAGAAGAATTTTTTGTCTCGTGTAGCAAGTTTATCATTTTCATTGTCGATGGATTCTGTGGTGGATTTTGATTTCGTTTCACTTGGAATAATTTTAATTTATGACGCGTGTGTCAGTGTTCCCGAAGAGTTTAAAAATATTAATAACATTAAAACGTCAAACTGAGATATGTAAAACTAATTGAAAGAAAGAGAGACACTACAAATTGAATGTTGCAATCTCCTCTTCTAAATAGGTAATTTCATATCTAAATTGCGCATGTTTATATATAGTTTATTATTTTACAACTGAGAAAATCAATTCTAAATAGAAATTTGTCTCGCCTACTAAATATTGTAACAAGTGCTCCACTTTGGATTCGTTTCGTCTACTGTATATTTGGACATTTCACATATATTTTTATGCACTACACATTATTTGGTAAATCTCTGCAACCTCGTTTCTTTCGAAATTACGAGAATCTCCTTGTATCGGATTGCACGAAACGCGGAAGGCGCCAATCATTCTCACTTGAGTCACGCCGAGAATCGCGGAGTGAAACGTTAAATTTGGAGACGAAAGTTTCGCGGAACGTCGACTCGTTAGAAAGATACGATGCAGCGCAATATGTTTTGGAAGCGAGATTCGCCTTCGGGCTAGAGGGGATTAAGAGCAGCGTTAGGTTGCCAGTTGTTTCCTCGCGAGAGAAGTGAGCGCACGCGAGCGAAAGAAAGAGGGTGCCTCGTCGATTCGCCGCGTAATGCTCGTGTCACACGAGTTGGCCCAAGTTTTTGCGGAGATTTCTATCGGGTTCGTCTGCAAAGCGTGTTCGATCGATGTAGCGTCGAGCGTGATAAAAGAAAGAAAAAAAGAAACGCGGAAGCGGCAGTGGGGCTGAAGTCGATGCAGTGAAATTTAAACGGTAATCGTCGTTTCGTTTCGGTTTGAATTCGGCAAAGAAAGTACGAAAGTGCATGTATGTCGATTTTCTGGTTTCAATATCATTTTGCGAGAGTCTCTGGCAAATAATATTTTGGCACACAGTTGGAAATTGGGCTGTTCGCGTACTCGAAATTTCAAATCGGATTTTGAATATTTTTTACCACACAAATGATTCAGATGATTTTCAGTCGAATTTTTTTTCCTTTCAATATGATTTTCGTATTTTTTTTTAATAGAGAAAGAAATTGAATAATATTTTATAGTTGTGTGAAGTAATAATGTTCTGGTAGACCGAGCCGTGTCGGGTAACACTTGAATAATGTAATTTACTTCAATAATATATACATATATGTATAATACATAGTGTCCCTCCGTGAAAATTTATTCAAAATCACATATTATTAAAACTAAACTAAATAACGTGAAATACGAAATCAAAAAAGGAAATAATTCTATGGAACTCTATATCCATACTGAGTAAAATCTGTCATAAAAGAGGCATCACGACAGCGGCCACGAAAGCTAGTGAATCCTGATGGAAATATTTCTTTAATAAGAGTTGCAGTTATTGAATGAATTCTTCTAATCGAACGTTATTTTCTTCCGAGTAACAGCTTCTCTTACATCATCTTGTCTTGCATCGTTGAGAAGACGCGCGATTGATTCCCGTTACGACTGCACGGGCAAGATTCAGTCTCGGATGGAGCAACACGCCTGCGATTTCACTCGCGCCGCGAGGTCGCGTTAATTCGGTCAATTGTTCGGCTCGATCTCGCGATTTTCAAAGTTCGTCGAGGCGGCTCTCATTAAGAGACGGGCCCCGGCATTCCCGTTAATCTCGAGGACGAGTCCGCGTCGTCGCCTAACGAGAAACGATCGAGAAAACAAGGAGAAACGACGCAAAGAGGTTGGGACGGGAATAGAGAAAAGGGGGTAGGGGAAAAAAGAAGAAATCAGGGGAATAGGGGAAAGCGTTCTAATTCCAGCCAGCGATATCGAATGAAAGGCTTGAATAAGAGAAACCCCTGTTTCCGTTCTGTTTCAGAAAATCCTGCTACCGTTGCGTCGTCATTCACGAGAAGCACTCGAACGTTCTCCAGTACAAAGAAAGTAAGTACAATCCCGAAAGAACATTGCAAGATGCCATTCCCTTTTCTTCCTCTCTCTTTCTCTGTCTCTCTCTCTCTTCCTTTCTCCAACGTAGTCTCCTTGTCTCGGTATACACTCGCCCCTTGGCCCGTCTTCTCCACCCTGGCCGTCGTCGTTGTCCTCGGTCCCCGGAGCGACCTCCTAATAGCCGTTGTTTCGCGCGATCGATAACGATTTCCCGTTGGCCCGGGGAAATCCATTCATTAATTAGAATGCCGATCGGTAATTAAAAGCTCGAAGATGACGGGCGGGCGGGCGAGGAGGTGGGGGCGGGGGCGTAGCTGCCGGAATAATTCTCGGGGAAGAACTTAACGACTTTCGTTCGTTGTGCAAACGGGAAGACGAGGACGATGGAAACGAGAGAGAGAGAGAGAGAGAGAGACGAGTGAGACGAAACACCGGGTCGTTGGTTCTGCTAATTCCGGAGCCAGGGCTGACTGAAACCTCGTCTCTTCGCCGGTAAGAAAGAAATCGAGGGCAGTTCTCGCGCGATCCCGGCCCTGCCTCTCGTTAATATGTACAACCGACAATCGAAACGGATGGCGAGGTTCCCGCGGCGTGGTAATGGTTCTCGTTTGCAGGGACATTTATCGAGGATCGTTATGTAGATCGTTGCAGATTATTGCGCGATCTCGGGACCCCAAAGCGCGGAGACGAACCTCCAGTTCTTTGTCGCGTTTCCAACGCTTCGCTTTTCATTAATGCGTCCCTCGTATCGCGGCTCGTGTGCCGGGTTAATTCGTCTAAGACCGAGCATGTCTGCTTTTTATGCCGAGATTAGATTAAAAGAAAACTGAGACAGAACAAAGAGAGGTTTTCGATATTTTTGATGTTCTCTTCGATGCTCAGTTATGGAGATATTTTTTTAATGAAAGAGATATTTATAACTGACGAACTGGTGGACTCTCGGACTCGTGAAATTTTCTATATGAAACTGGAATCATTCGTAATTTTCATTATACTTAGTGAAATTGAGTTACAGCCATCGTTGATGTTGTTCCTTTAGCTCGTTGCACAATAAGGAGCGCAAACTTTTACACAAAATCTAGAAATACACTTTTACGAGCCGGCGAAATTTCTGTGGAGAGTTGCCGCAATAAAAAACTTCCACGAAAATTTCCTTCAAAATTTCACAACAGCAAATTGGCACGTTTTAGCCTCTTTGATGCTTCTGGCGTTGAACTAAGTACGAAATACAAATTCGGCAAAAGTGTGTGCCCTTCGGTAAAACTTTTCCCCCTCCCGGTGCCGGTGCCGGTGTCGGTGTCGGTGAGTTTTATGAACCGCCTGAGAAAGGAATAACTCGCCGTTATTTACGTGCATGGAGTACCTACATACTCGCAAGGTCTCGGCGCGCACTCGAAATTTTCGCGTGGTTCCGGAGTACGAAGGATTTTCGTGAAAGTCGTTGAACGCCCGAACCAGCCGGGCGTCCGCTTTGAAGCGGCGTGTTCGCTCCAAGGGCGCTTTTACCCCGGGCTAGGATCGCGCAACGAAGTTTCCTGATAATTCTATTCGTCCCGACGTAGCTCATAGACGATAGCAGCCTCTTTTTTTTTTTTCAAACCCGCTAACGACACTTTGATCCTCCGACTGTGGTCGTAAGTGATGCGCTTCGCGGACAGGGGAAACAAGCCGCGAGGGAGGAGGGGAAGGGTTGCGGCTCCGCCAGGCCAGGGCAGTAAATATGGATCCGGATAAAAAATGGGTTGGGTGTGGGTGGAAAAGTGTGTGTATGACCGCACAGATACTGGCTCGTTCAAACGAGAAAACCTTGACCATTCACCAACGAAAATGACGCTCGTCTCTCTCTCTCTCTCTGATAATCCCTCGTAGGTTAGCTCTTGATTTCTGTCTCACTCGAATCACTTCGGTCCTATTTTCAACAAAAGAGTTATTTCTCACGGATCGAGGTCCATAAAATTGTTATTGAACTTTTACAACGATTTGTAAATAGTAAACTGTACAAATATAATTTAAATATGCATGACTGCATAAATATGGATAATTCTCGAATAATATCGTTGGGTTATTAAATTACGTTAGATGGAAATTTATAACAGGTACGCGTACATTTTATACTCCCCTGATGCAAATGCAACTTTCGATTGAAACAACTCGACCAAAAAGTTCAATCAAGAGCCGAAGTGAAATATAAATATAATTCGCAAACGAGAAATGTCTAATGTCGTTGTTTCTTTCAACGAACAAACAACGGGTACACAGGTTCGAGGCGAGAACTCCAATTGTTACTGGTCCCTCCGGGAACTTTTATTCGCCGGAAGTTAGCCCGTTTCATCACCTTGTCGAAAGATGACGAACGCCTTCAACTTCTTCCATTCGAGATTCGCAAATTAGCAAACTTCGATACTTCTCCGCCCCTTTTTCAGCATTTCGTACTGCGAGCGTCGAACATTGTCTACGGCTCTTGAAACCGGACGAACGATCCTGGAACGAGCTGTACACGAGGCCAAGCGAAGCCCAAGAGAGAGCAACAACGCGAGACAGGTGGAGTTTGGCACTCGAACTAAGCTGAAGAGGAAAGAAGAGGGTGGAACCGCTGTGTACGGGCTAAAATAGAGGAACAGCCAACCTCTGGTGCCACCCCATGCTGTCTCGCGTCCGCATTTTTCGACGATTTGTCAAAGTCCCTCGGGTCCCACTCTCTTTCCTTCTCTCTCGCTCGCCCTCCGTCCCTCTACTTTTTCTCTCTTTTTTTTTTATCGGATTTTAATCTGCATAGTGTCACATCGGAGATATCATTGCCTGCAGGCTGCACTCGGACCGGAAACCAACGGGAAAAATATGGGTCGTTTCGTGAACGAGAGAAAGACGGGACAAGGGTTTAGACAGCGACATGCTGGATCGTTGGAAGGGCTCTCGTCACGCTTCGGGGCAACCGAACGAACAGAAAACTTTCGAGTTTCTTGATCACTCCGACGATTTCAAACGAAATAACGATTCTCATAGGCGATTCGTTTATCGATCATTCCGGTTATTTCCCGCGGACGTTCGCAACTCGAAAGGTCCGATTACTGCTTGCGGGATCTTGAAACGAATGTAGGACGGATCGCGCTGAGTGTGTGTCGGGACAGTATCTGCCCTGAAGGAGTTCGCGTGCGGTTTCGAAAACTCGTGCGATTGTTACTCCGCCTCTTTCGACCTATCTCTCGATTCCAGGGAGTAGCGGTGAAGTTTTTTTTTTTTCTTTTTCTTTTGAAAGGAACGTGACATCGTTCCTATAAAGAACAAGAGGAAAGAAAAAGAAGAGAGGGGAAAAAAGAAAAGAACAAGAGAAGAAGAAGAAGAAGAAAAAGAAGAAGAAGAAGAAGAAGAAGAAGAATTGTACAAAGGACATCGCTTGGTTCGCCCTGCAGCACGCGGCCTATTTTCCCTCTCGGCATTCGTTAGAAAAGTTCAACTTCCCGGTTTTCCCATGTTTCCCCCTCACTCATTAACTAAACATACGCGGCCGCGAAATAAAAGCTTAACTTGCGGCTTGGTCGCCGGACGAAGGAAAGATTTTTAACAAGCACACTCGTTGCCGTTCGTCGGAAAGTTTAAGAGGCGGAATTACTGTCAGCTGCGGTAAGCGTGTTTCAAATTGGCCGCCGCCAGGCGAGCACGGCCGGATAAGAAGGAATTCGCGCCAACTTTAACTTGTCCATCGGGCGAAACACGAGATCGCACTACCTTCTGCCTCTCTTCGAGCTGCTATCACTTCGTGTATATCCCGTCGATCTTAGAGGACGATCTTTTTAATCTGCTCGATCGACCGTAATCCTCGTAAAAGGACGATCAAACTTTCGATCGATTCGCCTGATCGTACGTATCTACGTAAGCTCTTGTTGCCTGGAAATTCTTTTCCGAGAGGACAAACTGTCTGTGCAAAGAGACGTGCAGAATCGGTGGGGCCGGACAGGCCCGGTCGAACTCGATTTAATTTCACTGACACAACCCTCTCTCTCTCTCTCTCTCTCGCGATACCTTCGTTCGAGCTTGTCATTAGCAACTGAGTAAAATAAAACGCGACTAATTAATCAACGGGACATACCTTTGTAAGGGCAAATTAATTATGTTGAAAGAGCGGTTGGACGCAATTTCGTGAGAGGGAGAGTCACGCGGCCGGCCGGCTGGGGCTGGAGAAGGAAGTCGGCCCCTAATAACGAATAAATGACGATGAAAATTTGAAGAGCCGGCCGGGCCGAGCGCAGAGACAGCAGAAGAATGACACGAGGCCGACATTCATGCGCGAATAAATAAATAAATGAGCCGACGGGAAAAATAGCGGGAGGAAACTTGGGAATGGGGGAGAGACACGACATTGCACTTTTTCCATTTCCACGCTTTGAAAATTACATCTGCCTACCTTCTTCTTCCTTGACTTCTCTCTCCTCCTCCTTTCTTTCCTTTCCTTTCCTTTCTTTTCTTTTCCTTTTCTTCGCCTGTTTCCGTTTCCGCGTTCTACTCTCTCAGACGACGGTGCGCGCACGGTGTATTCGTGTAAATAAATATTCGTTTGTACCAATAATTCTTGCCGCGTAGAAACAGCTAGAAGAACGCTGAAAATTCTTCTCCGGAAAATTTCGAGTTATCGCAGCCGAGCAGAACGAACGTCGGAAACAAACGAAATTCAGTATCCGGAATCACGTTGATGGAGAGTTACGATACGGTCCGCGTAAATGTTTGCAACGAGGAATCGAGGCTCTCTTGAAAATACAGTCCAACGTCGTCATAAACTCCTATAAAAACGAAACGCGAGCCGATTCGAAGATAAACGACGCCGAAGCGAAGAGTGAAGACGCTGAAACGGTCATTGGTGACGATTTAATGGTTCTCAATCCCTCTGCTGAATTTTTTTTCTGTTTTTTTTTTTTCTTTTTTCTCTCTCTTTCGTTTGCCTCTATGAGATATCGTCGCGTATTCGATTGCCACGCGCGTTAAAGGGAAAGCTTCCGCTACTATTGCCAATTTGAACTTTTGCTTTCTCGATGAATGTATACCATGTACGCAGTCGGTTCAATGAAACGGCTCATTCACGCTCGCTGAATGCGAAATCCCTATTGTAACTCTCTTTTGAAAGAAACGGATTTATTACCACTGGTAATAAAAAAAAGAGAGAGAGAGAGAGAGAGGAAGAAAAAAGAGAAAAACGGGAAAATAGAACGAAGAGTCTAAACGACAGAGGACCGTTGTCACGGGAGGGACGGGAGGGGACCAACCATCGTTGGCCGTTCTATTTTTCTCCAGCTATGGCAACACCTGCGCGTGGAAAAGTTGCCCGAGTCCCGGCGCCTAGCGTCTCGCCACTTTTCCAGCCGGAAAGAAAGAAATCGCCGAGAATATCCCCGGTTAAAGTTACTCCCGGCTATGAACTTCCTACTCAGGAAGATTCGTCATCGTCTGCTTGCACCCCCTATCCCTCCCACCGCCGTCCCATCCAGCGCCCGGCTCGCGCCATTTTTCCCTTTCCACGAGGCCCAAGTTCCTGTCAACCTCGGCCTGTACACGAAAAGAACTTATAGCTGTTCGACAAAAGTTAATGCATCCGAGTGTGCTGGCGTCACATACACACGGGGCATGGTTAGATGTTACTTCGGACTGTTGCGCAACTACACGAACGATAATTTGTAGATACGAATGGGACGGCAAGATGTATATTTCCTAGCCAGAGTGCCGGAGAATACAAGATATTTCTGGGAGGGAGTAGCTTTATATTTGGGAGCTTGCGTTCCATCTTCTCCCTTTTTTTATTTTTATTCCTCCTTTGTATCGAGGAGTAGATTATTCTTCCTTCCTGGCTATCTATTATTTTTATTATTCATAACAAGTCACGTTTGGAGACAGTTGAGTCAAGTGAACTATTTGACTAAAATACCATTGCGATGTAAATAAAGTTCTAACGCGAATAAAATTCTACTAATAATCAGAATCCATTTACGATGCATTATGCATAGAGTCAATAATGTTTAAATTTCAAGTAGTACAATTGAGCATGGAAACTCACTCGTATTCTAGCTTTCTTACGCTAGAATCTGGATGAATCTCTGCGAAATTCAAATTGAAACACATTCGTCGATTTGTTTCAGCTTATTGTCACAGCAGAAACTCACTGTCGTCACTGTGCTCGTACATCACGGGAGATGCCCTGCTTTATTCGATGTTCCGGGAGGAGGCAACACCTGTGCCGTGCCCTTTTCGAGGACCCATGACTTTTTCCTATAACCGCGGTCACGGAACCTGCTCGGTACCGGTCAGCAACGTCGACACCTGCACCGACGATAGCCGACTATTGTTCAGATATCAGGCGTGTCCCGATATATCCGCTTCCGAGAGCGCAGGTAAGTGTTGTTTTTCTTTTCTGTAGTAATTTTATCAAATTGTCCTTGCTAAAATTATCGTTGCCGATGAGTCGAAAAGAAACACGCGCAGAGAAAAAAAAAGAAAAATACGTGGACCCTATGTCGGGTTTCTAGTAACGTTTGTATCTCTTCCGTAAGAAGATATAACTCCGAGTATGAAACAGTTAGCAAAGTTAACGAAATGATGCAGATAGTACGCAGGAATGTATATAAAAGGAAATCCAAAATAATATTTCTCTAATAATGCGTTCGATTGCATTCAGAAAACTATAAATTGGCAGTCTGGTGGTAAATAGAACTACCATTTATACATTTCTTACATTTTTAACGAATTTACATCATCATTTATCGCAGTCTAACGATGTATCAATTTTATTTATTACATTCCTAATTGTCGCTCAGATACCATCGTGACACGCGGCCAATCTTTCAGTGGATTTACGAGAATCGGATGACCCGTTTTCATAATAGTCGAGTGAAAGTCAGACATGAATACTAAATGACAGAGGGTTAACGACATTTATAGTCCTAACCCGTTCGAAATCATCGCACTTAAGAAACCATAATTCGGGGAAGGGGGAGCAGATTCGGCGACAGACTCTCGAAACTTTCGACGAAGTCTCCTTCAGGCCGTACGCTCGATTAATGGTTCAAAGGGTCAGGGGTTGGGCACCGATTAGATGTGATTTTCGTCCGTGCATTCGTTAGTCGCGGCCCGGCACGAGGGAGAGCTCGATTTCCGGCGAAGGGAACGAACGTTTGCCATTAGACGCACATCCGATAAGGGGTTTGCCGAGCTAACGATTTCTGTGTGGTGGAAAATTAAACGGAAGGACGGCCAGAAAAAAAGCGATAAGTCGCCGCCATGTCGAACGTGTCGCTGATGTCCCGAGGTCGATTCGGAAACCACGTTTATGCGTCGTATGTGATAATACAGTTGAATGACTGGGCTAACAGGGAGACAAAAATGTTGACTCGATGGAATTTTCGAACAATGGAGCAATTACTTTTCTATATTTTCTGTAGCTTTTCTCTGTTTTCAACGTCTTCGTCACTCGTGGGCAAAATATTGATTCATCGCGAAATCAATTATAATTTCTTATTTGTTCGATTAATATTTTCCACCGTTCATCAGTAAGTACTATCTATTCGCGTAACAAAATCGCAAACGATCGAACGTTGTATGTTTCTAAATGTTTAGAAACTTTAGAAAATATCGAGAATATTGGGATATTCAGATATTAATATTTTAACGTCTTATTCCGATATGAGAAACAAACATAAATACTTCAACATGAAAGTAACAAAATATAAATATAAAAATAACAAAATGTATGATATAGCAGAGAAAATAGAAAAGAATCTGTCGAACAAAATGTCGTCGAAGCTGAAACGAGGTGCAGGGTTAAATGGTTGAATGAGCTGAGAATCGTCCCTTTCACTCCCTAACGAAGGTCCCCGCTCGCAAAACCACCGACTCGTTTTGCTTCATTTAGACTTCGTTAAACTTTCGTGGCGGATTGAACGCAGGATGAGTCCTCAATTGAGTGCCAAGCGCGAATAGTTTCCCTATTTTCGATGGGCTTTCACTGCCTTTTTCTTCTTCTCTTTTTCGTCTGTCATTGATAAAAATTACTATGAAAAGTGAAAGAGAAAGAAGATGTTGGATAACGTTAATGTTGGAATTTTCTCAGAAAACAGCGCCACGTAGAGATTGTTAAGGCTAGGGGAATCTGAACGAAATCGTGCAACTTTTATGGACTTTTATCCATACACGTGGTTCGCTGGAAAAATATCAAAGGAGAGCGATCTATCGATGACAAGAGCGTATTTTGCAAATTGCGATCGCGATGCCGCACAAAGAGAAAGCGTATCGCCTATCGATTTAACTTTGTAAAATTCCTCGTGTGATCGGTTGGATCCCAACTGCCAGAGGAAGATTCGTCTCGTCGCGTCGGTTACATCCGACCGAAATTGTTTTTATTTTGATGGACATTTTAGCCGAAAACGCTGGACCATGGCGTATCGCCGTTAAATCGAATTAACCTCTGATGCGAAACACGCACGCACACACGTGAAAAAAAAAAAAAAAAACGGGAGGGGAAAAAAAAGTAGTAAACAGCGTAGAACAAGCGAGCGTAGCGATGCTCTTTTAGGTCCATCTCGCTCGCGCGATCTCTATATTGACACGTTTGATAGCTGCCTATACGTACTGGGTGAATTACCTAAGGCTGCAAGGTTGAAATAGAAAAACTAGAACTTGCGTCAGCGCATCGGTGACAGTGTATCGGACAACGCATCCCCTCGAAATCGTTCAATTGCTTGCCTGAAACGTTTTCCGACGTAATTCATAGTTTCGTTGATACAGCGATGAACAGAATCGAGCACACGTGTGAATTTTTAACATTAATAATATTTTATCGAGTGTTTGCGCGCGGAGTGCAGAAAAAAAGCAAAATACGTACTACTTTGTAGGATGTTTTGGCTCTTAAAAAAAAAAAAGAAAAAAATTTCTATGATCATCCTGGCGAATATAATAATTGTTTTCGTGGATGTTTGAATTTTTAAAGTTAATTTAAATGAAACATTGTTAATGGTTTTAACTTCGTTACAAATGATCATGTAACAATCTCATTTCAAAACGTGAAGCTTCCGTTTTCACTACGCTGAATTCATTTCGCCTCCTCAAGATATTTTCACACCATGTAGCGAGAAGATGTCCTTTCCTTTGAAACAAATTGTAAAAATTCACACATGCGTGAACAGGCTGAAAAAAAAAATTTTTTTGTTTTATAACCAAATCCATCCACTGGTCTCGAAGATTACAGTTTTCCATTTCAACTTTTTTAATCCTTAACACGTAATTCGCCGTGAAACGTCACGAGAGGAATTCGATTTTTTTTCGAAATGGCGCGCGTCTAAAATGGAATCGAGCGCAATCGAGCCCCAGTGACCTCAAAGGCGATCGATTGTCGTGGTAATTAATAAGATCGGCGAGAGATCGGATAACCGAACCCGAACGAATAGGAACCCGTTCCACGTGCGCCTAAATGGTGCGTAATGTAATTTCGTGAAATTGTTCGCGTAATATCCCAGCTTTGAGCGCGATGATTTGCTGGGGGAGCCAAATGCCTCGCCCGGGTATAACCCTGGCCCGATATTAAATTGAACGCGCATTCGGGAAAGGAGAGAAGTAAACTCCGCCGCTTAATCCCTTTGTGGAGTGTTGGCCGACGCGAATTCAGCATAATTCAAACTTAATTAAGTCACGCTCGTCCCAAAGCGAGTGAGAAATTCGGGGCCTGACGGTTCGTGGCCGAACGAAGCCGCGAAATTTATTTAAAGCTGATCGATTTATCGTGTCTATGTGTCTTGCCGTGAAATTTCCTCTTACGGCGATCATCTGAAAGAATTTCAAGTAGATGCGTTGCATCGAAGCAACGCGATAAATAAGCAACGGGGGCGCACGGTTAGGTTAAACAGAGCGGCTTTAAATAGGCGGTTTCTGAGGCCATTGAGTTCCGCTGGCTGGCAATTTTCACCGTTCAAGAGGTCACGAGAAACAATTTCGTAGATCAAAGATGAAAGTAAATTAACGCGCGGAAAGTAAATAGAACGAAAGCAAATGCAAAAAAACTCTTGGCGGTTCCGATTTAATAATCAGCAACCGTGAAACAGGCGAAATTTTTCTTTTTTCTTTTCCTTTTCTTTTTTTTTACGACGCAATGTTTCTCACGTTTGCGTACAGTGGTGCTAAGTGCACCGAAATTGTTTTTCCCTCTTTTTCTTTTTTTCTTTTTTTCTCGTAGAGCGCCGTACCGCTTGAATACACTAGTAAATATAGTTTTATACCCGATGCAACGTAGTTACGGACCAGTACTTAACGGCGTCGACGACAATTACACGGTTTTTTCGTATTACGTGACGACAAGGACTTTCAAGTGACTCTCCAGCACTACGTGCACGCGCACGAGACGAGACGAGACACTCGCGACTGATGAATTATACCGTTTCAGATTTACGATCCGATAAACGAGAGGACACGAGAAAGCGTATAAAATCGAAACAACGGTCCCTAGTGATTACCGCGATAATATATCATCCGAATGAATGAAGTGAATACACAGTATATATATCAAGCGGGAAATCGCATGAAAACGTCGAAACGAAACGTTAAAAAAAACATTAATCAAAGAGGGGAGAAAGCTTAGTTCAAATGAATTGTAGAAAGTCGCACGGTGGATGGTGTTCCAACACGGCTCCTCCCCCCTCCCCCCTCCCCTCCCACTCCCCTTAGTGTTTGGCGCGTTTCCGTTTTTTACATCCTGACGCGGATTAGCTCTATCACGGTTTAATTCCATTCTCCCTGCGATCACGCCGCTTGCTCTTTTTATTTTCCTATCTTAAATCCGTTCAAACACAGCTCCGTGCATTTTTACAACGTGGCGTGAAATACCATTGTACTGGAGCCTAAACGAGTAACGAATAACAAAAGGGGCAAAAGCCACGACGAAAAGAAGCTCGATCGTCGGCGCTTTCTGTTTTCGTATACTATATAATTGTAAAATGTCTGTCAGAACAACAATAGAGTTCTCGGCGCTATCTTTATTATTTCTCAATGTAATCCCCTTTGCTTCTCGTCAAGCTTTCTCTCCGAGTCGAAATATTTTCCATTATAAAAGGAGTATGTCGTGCAACGCGTTCTTTAATTCTTAATGACCAGTTTTAAACTCACCGAGGCACTCCCACACTACTTGGTTTCTACACTACGGTGAAAGTTCTCTGTAGACGCGTCGTTCTTTTTTTAACGCAAACCTAAAATGCTTCGACCGTTGTTGTTGCGATAAACAAAAGAAAGAGCCACTTTGTTGAAGCTAACTTGCGAAAACCTTTAGTCAGTGTAACAACAATATTATTGTTTAATCAGCTTCGTACCACGTTTGAGCCATAGCGAAAGAAATACACACACAAAAAAAAAA